TTTTTGATGCTTTCTATTATGACATGAGGCTTAAGTTTGTTTCTTAGGTTTTTTTTATTCTTTCAGCTTAAGAAATGCAGAGCCAATTCTTCCCTTTTTATTCTCCAATTCCAGCTCCCTGCACATTCCATTATAATACTTTGCTTTGTTCTCTCAATCTACCCTTTGAAATCTGTTCAGCTCTTTCACTTTGAGAGGTTTTCTGTTTGTTTTGGCATCTTAATGCCCCAATGCAATCTTTAGAGTCTCTTCTTATACCAGTTTTTTCCCTTTATCCTTCATTTCCATAGTGATCTTTTTATTTCTTTATGAATGATTTCCTTGATATTATCCCATATCTCAAAAATGGCTAGAACTGTACATTGATAGGGAACTGCCAAATGTTCAAGCAGGATTTAGAAGAGATGGAGGCACCAGGGTTATCATAGCTGATGTCAGATTATATCCTGGCTGAAAGTAAGGAATACCAGAGAAGTATCTATTTGTGCTTTATTGACTATGCAAAGGCATTTAACTGTGTGGATCATAACAACTTATAGCTGACATTGAGAAGAATGGGAATCTCAGAGCACTTAGTAGTACATTTGCAGATGACCTGTAGCTGGACCAGGAGGCTGTTGTATGAACAGAACAAGGGCACACTGCATGGTTTAAAACTGAGAAGGGAGTGTGTCAGGGTTGTATTCTATCTCCATACATATTCTGTTTGTATACTGAGCAAATTATCCAAGAAGCTGGACTCTATGAAGAGGAGTATGGCATCAGGATTGGAGGGAGACTCATCAATAACCTGCATTATGCAGATGATATAACCTTGCTTGTTGAAAGTGAGAAGACCTTGAAGCACTTGTTGCAGATCAAGGAATGCAGCCTTCGGTATGGATTGCATTTTAGTGTCAGGAAAACAAAGATTCTTATCACTAGACTGATAGGCAGCATTATGATGGATTGAGTGGAGACTGAAACTGTCACCAGCTTCATCTTGTTTGGATCCACAGTTAAGACCCTTGGTACCAGCAGTCAGGAAATAAGGCGATACGTTGCACTGGTTAAATCTGCAGTTAGAGACTTTTCCAAATTATTGAGGAGTAATGATGTCATTTGAGGACTCAAGTGCATGTGATTCAGACCATAGTCTTTCCAATTACTTGCTATGTATGCATCTTAGAACTGGACAATGAAATAAGAAGAACTGACACCTTTGAGCTGTTGTGTTGGAAAAGAGCACTGAACATTCCTGGAACGGCCAGGAGAACTAATGGTTATGTCTTGGAGAGGGTGCAGCCAGAGTGCTCTTTGGAATAAAGAATGATGAGACTTGGTCCATATGCTTTGGGCATGTTGCTAGGAGGGGCTATTCCTTGGAGAAGGACATGATGCTGGGAAGGGAAGAGGGTCAGTGAAATAGAAGTCCCTCAACCAGGTTGATTGACACAGTGACTGCGGAAATGGTCTTTTGTGTGTCAGGAAGTGTGACGATGGCTCAGGATAGAACAGGGTTCAGATCTTTTGTTCATAGATAGGGTTGCTATAAGTCATACTCAGTGGCACCTAACAACAGCAACAACAATCACATTGTGCAGCGTCATTCATTGTCTTCTCTTACTCTTTGTCTTGGTGGAAAATTGTCCCTTCTTTGTCTTAAAGTATGCAAAACTTGCTTGTATGTGGAATTCGCAAAATTTGCTATGTCTGTGGGAATTCTTCCCAGAATGTAATAAACTCTATTAATCCAAAGAGTGTAAAAACTTGTACATGCATATCTGTCTGTCCACTTGCCTGCTTACCTTCTGGGAGCACTCCTTAAGTTGATATTGCAAAGTTTTCAAAGCTTTATAGTTTCATAGTTCTGGCCTCTGTCAGTTTTTGTTTGTTAGGGTTGTTTGGGTTTTTTTTTTCCTTTTACTTTCACAAACTGCAATTCTGAGGTTGTCTCTTATTTTTTGTTCTGTTCTAATAGTTTTACTCTCAAAATGATCTAGATAATTGCTTTCCTCTGTTAATTATTCTATCAGCTTGTACTCACCTGTGTGCAGTTTGGGTTCCTTTTATCCTGATGTCTTGTGTTAGTGTCATTCTGTTTCAAATGCTACATTGCTTCAAGTTTAGATGAAATTTAAAATGTACCTGTTTACCTTTATTGGTACAAAGTTCTGTAACTTTAAATACTAACCAAACGTAAATGGATCCTAAATTTCCATCTTCAGTTTTCCCCCAGAGTTCTCAACTCTTTATTTGAATGTGCATTGTTGTTGTTGTTGTTAAGTGCCTTTGAGGTACAGATGACTCATAGTGACCCTATGAACGAAAGATTGGAACACTCATATAACTTTCATTGTTTCTCGAAGTTCATAGAGTTTCCGGAGGCAAACTATTTTGGAAGTAGATGCCACTCCTGCTTCCAAGCTTGTTTTAGTCGGGGAAACTCCACCAAACACTGTCCACTATGGGTAACCATTATCGCATTTGACACATCAGTGTCACAGTATTTAGCATCACAACAACCACAGGTTGTTCCTGTATAGCGAATGGACAAACTAGAAATCAAACCTCGGTAGAATCAGGCTGCTTTATAATACTTCTCTACCTGGATTCCAGCCCCATACTGGTGACCAAATTCCTTTTTACACAGGAGGCCAAATACAATCAGTTCATACCCAGTGGCTTGTAAACATTGCCCCTAAGTCTCACCAGAACCAGAAATCAACCTCTGTAGAATTAAACTCCTTCAGAATACTCCCCAACCTGGATTCCAGCCAACAAATGTACTTTAGAACCTCAAATTTAATGTGTCCAAATCTGGACTCTTGGCACCTCCCTTCTGCCCACTTAGCTCAGTTCACCATCTCTGTTGGTACTGGATACCAACTCCACTGCTCAAACTAGTGTTTGGCCAATATGAAAAGATGAATACACTACTTCTCAATCAAAAGCAAATTTATTCTGAGGTGCAAAGTTGGTTCAAATTTTTAAAAAATTATCAATATACGTCTTTATATTAGCAGATGAAAATTTAAATAACCATTGTGTTTAAACCTTAGAGAAGCTATATCAATATTGTACCACTCCTGGTAATATAAAGTGATTGAGATTAAAAAAACATGACTGAGATTGCTAGCTTCTTCCAGATTGTTATGTTTAAGAACATTGTACATTTATACATACATTTGCTAATACAGTGATGCCTTTGAGCTATGGTGCTGGAGAAGAGTATTGAGGGTACCATGGACTGCTAGGAAAACAAACAGATTTATGCTGGAAAGGGTTAAACTGGGCGGCTCCTTGGAGGCAAGGATTCTGAGGCTCTGTCTAACATACTTTGGACATGTTGTGAGGAGAGACCTGTCCTTGGAGAGGGACATCATGCTTGGGAGGGTGGAGGGACAGTGCAGGAGAGGAAGGCCCTCTATGAGGTGGATTGATTCAGTGACTGGGGTAATCGGGATGGGTGTGTCAGAGGCAGTGTGATTGGCACAGGACAGAGAAGAATTTAGGGCTATTGTACGTAGGGTCCCTATGAGTCGCAAGCGACTCGATGGCACATAACAACAACACAACAACAGTGGCCTAGTTGCAAGGAGCCGTGCTGCCAGCCCAAAGCCATGAATTCATGTCCACCAGCTGCTCTGTGGAAGAAAGATGGCAGCCCTCTTTTGTGCTATTTACAGACTCTGAAAACTGTCTGAAGACTCAGCTATGAGTCAGTTCCAACTCGATGGCATATAACAACAATACAAGAGGAAAATGGGGGTACACTGATGCTGTGACTTACCTAAGGACTGGATTCTAAAGAAAAATTTGTTTCAAGATCTTTATGGTTTGATATAGTATAGTTTGATACGATACAATGATTTCTCCCTAGTTAAGTTTGTAGAACCCTATAGAGGAGTTGATACAGGCTGATCAGGTTTCTCTAGAAACACAGTATATATCTTTTTGTTTTACAATACTTTTATTTTTACATAATTGGCATATCAGACTTGCTCCTTTTCAAGTGTACAGCTTATTGGTTTTTTTCATTTAACAGTTTTACAGCTATTCTATCAAGTTTTAAAATATTTTCATCAGTCCCCAAAGAAACCCTGTGTCTAGTTATTTCTTTATGTCCACAGGACAAATTCCTATACTTAATCTGAAAAGAAAGTCACATATCATAGAAGGAAGGAACCCTCGTGTTCCAGCATCCAGCTGCTCACCAAAGTTTAGCACTTTGATCCTACCCAGTGACGCTGAGTAAAAGGGCTGCTTGTGAGCCCCTGAAGGAAGCTTTGATGGCCTAGTGAGTAAGGACTGGCACTGCCAATCCAAAGGCGGGCAGTTCAAATCCTCTGATCCCTCTGCAGGAGAAAGATATTCATTTTCCTACTGTGTAATTTACAACCTGTGAAAACTCACTGGAGGGTCAGCTGTGAGTCCGTTCTGACTCAGTGATAATGACTACATACACTTGTAAAATCATAGTGTAAAAAATTCTATGGAACAGTTCTGCTCTGTCATATGGATTTGCTGTGACTTGAAAGAGACTCATGGGAGTTCTGGTGGTCTAGTGGGCAAGGTAGGTGGTTCGAATCCAGGGTCTGCTCCATGGGAGAAAGATGGGTCATTTCCTTCCGTGTAATTTAGAGCCTCTGAAAACCTGCTGGAGGGTCAGCTATGATTTGGTTCTGAATTCATGGCAGTGAGTTAGCCTTTCAATCATACCTTTCAATCAAACAGCAACATCATAAAAGGGAAGAACAAAACAATTAAAGGTATTTTATGGAATGAAAACCCACAATCTCTGTAAATGTTCATTAAAATTAATAAAATTTAATATAAATAAAAAGGTATTTTATGTTTATGTAAAACCTTGCCTATCTTTCCAGGTTAGTTAAACACTTTTGTTTTGCTTTTCCTAGGGGTAAAGGAGCTGATTATTTGGTTTTTGTGATGATACATGTGGTTCTATAAAAATTCTTTGATAATCACAGTCATTCCATGTCCATGCTGTTGGTTTGCAGGGCACTGGCTGACATGAATAATGATGGAAGAATGGATCAAGTGGAGTTTTCCATAGCCATGAAACTTATCAAACTGAAGCTTCAAGGATATCAGCTCCCCTCTGCACTTCCCCCTGTCATGAAACAGCAGCCAGTTGCTATTTCTAGTGCACCAGCATTTGGTAAGTCGCAAAATGAATTGGCTGCTCTCTTTCCTTGTATATCTTAAAAATAAATATTTCCTTTTTTATTTTTTTTCTATTTATCTAGCATTGTGGAAATCTAGGAGGGAAATGTATATCTGAAAAATGATCCCCTGTAAGGGAATATAATTTCTACAGGAGAGGAAGCACATTCACAGTCAAGGTGAAAGTGAAGATGCACATCCTCACAGAAGAGGAGTGAGCTTCACACTGTCACAGCCTTCCTTGGGGGAGGGTGTCTCGATTTCCAGACATCTTTATTTCTCTGTGTGTGTATATAAGCTTGCTTGGATTGTGAAATCATAATATTAGTGTTAAGGCAGTTGGCCACATTAAAACTTTTCTAGAACAAAGTAGAATGGAGGGAAAAGTTACCATAATTAAAAGCAAAATTCCATGAAAATTTCTTTCAGCCAGGCATTTTTCTTTAAAAAAATAAAATCATCAATGATTAAACGATGGTCTAAAATCACCAACGGTTCTGATTTCTTCTCTGTTCTAGACTTTAATTATTTAGGTTGATTTGGTGATTGCAGTAATCAGGTGTAAGATCTGATTCATGAGGAGGTTTTTAAACAGTTCAAGTGAAAAACTAAAAATTGTGCTAGAATTGTCTTTGTTTCTGTTATATCTGATGACAGGTGATAGTGAAGTAGATTTTAGGGTGATCAATAGTAATTCAGATCTTCTCTGACACCATTATTGCTAACCTGAGATAAATCAATAATCTGATTTATTTAGTAGAGTTGCTATATCAAATAAACTGTCCCTCTCTTTTGGTGAGAATTAGCAACAAAGTTTGTTTTTTTAAGGAGCAAGTACAGCTTTTGAAAAGATTAGTTAGGCAAGCACAACTGGAATCCAAAATAAGGAGGAAAAGAATCTGAAACATTACATATGAGCAAAGAATATGAAAAGTAAAACTTGACATTGCTCTGTGTGACCAGTGTCCTCTTCGGTAGTATATTCACTGCACTCAGCCTTTAGTTAACCAGCTTATTTCGTAGAAATTGCTCTCAATCCCTTAAAGCTCATAGGCAGTGTTTCTCCAGGACCCATGTGTTAAGAACAGTTAAAAGTTGTTGTCATTTCTTTCCCCTTCGTTTCCTTGCCAAGGCTGCAAGAAGAAACTTCAGAGTGGAGAAGGGGTCAGATAACCAGAAGCATCCCATTTCTTCTTCCCAGCCCCCCAGTTCCTAGGGTCAGTAATCCGTCCCTTAACATTTAATATGTCTTCTCCTGTTCCATTCTACTGTAGGACTTTACATTCTGAAGGTGCTGCTGCTTTATTTTCAGGAAGTGTGGTCCTCATCCATCAGAAGGCTTTACACCACTTATTTAAGCTGCCATCGGCCAGGGTACTGGGATTTCTGGTCTAGGCACTGTGATCAGTCAGTCCACAGATCTTCCCTTAAGCTTTGTCCTGCCTTTCTCCACGTCATTCTTAACATGTCAGCATTCTCAGTAAACCACTTTTTAAAGAGGATAAACCTGGAAACATCTAGATATTGTAATAGTTACAAGGATAGGGTTGAATCCACTTTGTCTGAATTTACTCAAATCATCTCAGGGTTATTTTTTTTTCCCTTAAATAGTTCTCTGGTTGCTCAAGAACAAATAGATTTATTATTGTCATTATTTTCTAATTCATATTGAACATTATCTGACCATGCATTTCATAGCCCTAATATGAAAGTAGTTAGAAGTTATTAGTGTTGTTATTTACACTCTTTAAATTGTGCATCCAACACTTCTCACCCTTTCCTGACGACCTGTTGGGATAAACTCTCTTGCCCCTGTGCTTCCTGACTAACACTATAGTTGCTATTACTAGTTTGAGCTCATAGAAAGAAGAACATTAAAAAGCGATATATGATAAGGTATTGCGATTATCACAAGAGTCCAGGATTTAGGTTACATAGTGGAGTGCGGGGGGAGATTGCATACTAATGAAAGAATTTTTCTTTTACTTTTCAAAGAGAGAGGAGGGAACTAGGGGGGAGGGTTGGGCAGGGAGAAAAATGCAACAATGAATGAATGGAAATCCAAAATCTCTGTAAATGTTCATTAAAATGAATAAAATAAAAAACAAAACAAAAAAGCCCTCAATGCTCATGGCAGATAGTTTTTACCAGTTAAAGTTAATGAGTAGATGACTTTTGATGTTTACTCCAACCCACTCATACATTATTAATTTCATATACAAGTAAGATCATGCTGAAGATTATTTAAAAATTATTGGAACATTATATCCACAGGGAGAACTGCCAGAAATTCAAGTTAGATTCAGAAAAGACCATGGCACGAGGGTTATTGTTGCTAATGTCAAAAGGATCTTGGCTGAAAACAGTGAATAGCAAACAGATAATTTATTTGTGTTTCATTTGACTATGCAGAGGCATTTGACAGTGTGAGAGTCATAAGAAATTAAATAATATTAGCAAGAATGGGAATCCCAGAATACTTTATTGTGCTTCGCCATAGACCAAGAAGCATTTGTTAGAACAGAGCAAGGGAACACGACTGTATGGTTTAAAATCAAGGAAGGTGTGTGTATCAGGGCTGAATCCTTCTCATTACTTGACTCCTTGGGAGAAAGACAAGCAGTCATTTCCCATGTGATTTACAGCCACTGAAAACCAGCTGGTGGGTCAGCGTTGAATTGATTGTGACCTGAGTCATGCATACCAGCAACCACAGCAATAAGGTCATGGAGTTAGGGCAAGAACCACATAAACTCTGTTGTTAGTTTCCAATTCCTAAGCACCCTGCATAGAATAGAACTGAAAGCTGTTTCATCCTGCAGCATCTTCGTAACTGTTGCTGTGCTTGCCTCCGTTGTTGCAGCCACTCTGTCAGTACATTTCCTAAGAGGTTAGAATTTCCTTTAAGTGCAATTAAAAACCACAGGGAGTTTTTAGTAGGGTGATAGATACTTTAAAAATAGATTTGGATTTTCACATAAGATGGCTGACTAGACAGCAGTTTAGACCTTATTAATTTTTAGAGCTTTAATAGATTCCTCAGGGAGTTCTGGTGGCATGGTCTGTGGAGGTTTGCACTGCTAACTCAGAGGCCATGCCTCTCTGGTGGCTCAAGTCCGCCAGCTATTTTACTGGAAAATGATTGGAAATCTCTCATTTGACTTACAGCCTCAGAAACCTGCTGTTGCAACAGCTGAGTCAGTTTTGACTTCATGGCTAAGAGTTTGACTTTGAGAATCGATTTCCAATTTTAGGAGATGCTAAGGAAGCATGACTCTTGAGCTTAGAGGAAGGATCATTCAGCTTTGGGAGACAAAGAATATGAGAGTTTCCATTTAGATGGCATTTATAACCCTATAACTGGACAAAATATCTCAAGGAGAAAGTGTAGGTAGAGACCAGCAGATTAGGACAAGCCTTGGAGTTCTGTGATATTTCACATTCTGATAAAAGGAAACAAGCCAGAAATAAAAGATGGAAATAGAAAGAAGGGTGGGCAACTTGTGAAATGGGAAGAAGTCAATGTTCTAAAAGCTGAGAAAAAAGGTTTCAAGAAAGAGGGCTTGTTTCTCTGTTTTAGAGATTGAGTAAAACTAGGCAAAAATGTGGTATGTGGATTTCTCAAGATTCACTTGTGAGTGACCTTGATAAGTGGTTTCAGTGGAGTAGTAGTTGAGGCTAAATGGAGGAAAAAAGACTTATTACTTTTTCTTGCAGAAAAATACCTTGTAACTTTCAAGAGAGGTAAAGCTGGCTAAGTGACTCATGTAGAGTGAAGAGCTGTAAGGTGGTAATGGCAATGATTTTGTTACCATTACCAGTCTAGTGAAAACATGACTGTATTTGTTTTAGGATTTTGTCTAATATTTGATACCAGTTAATTTAAGGTATCAATATTTTTATTTTGAAATGAAATTTCTTCTATGAGTAGGAGTCTGCAGGTATAGAAAATGTCTTATTAAAATGCTTAGTATTCTGTTGTCTAATCTTTAAAAGCCTTAGAGATTGGTTTTGGTTGTTGGTTAAGTAAGTGACCATTTTTGTATCAGCAAAAGCCAAGTACTGGAGTAGAATTTATTTATTATGTATTATTATTATTTATTAATTTATTAGCTATCAGTAAATCTTTGCAAATATTGTCATTTAAAACTGACAATGAAAATTCTAACTAGATATAGGCATTGCTTGATATTTGACTTCCATTTCATCTAAATGAGATACTTAATAATATATTTTAATGATATATGTGAATCATAAATCAGTCCTGTATATGAATATGATTAATTATTTTTTACCCCTTGAAAGCTGGTTAGACTTTTTCCTCTACTTTTTGATTGATTTTAGAATATTTATGCACATTCTTGTTACTGTATTTGAAGTATTTTTCCCTGATTGTATAAGATGTCTGTAATAGATCAACTATGTAAGACTTAAGAAACAAAAGATGAAACTTGTCCTTTATTTCATTTCTCAGAAATGATCACAATATTTAAAAAAATAGAAACTATTTTATCTCTAAGAAAAAAAAAAAATCCTAGCCTCCAGGGAGAAACTTGGTTTCACTCCTTCCAAGACAGACATTCATTTGCTTAACTGTCCATTATATATTAAAGATT